TTTTATTGTGTCTTACTAGGTTGCTGAGACTGGCCTCGGATTTGTGATCCTCCTGTCTCAGCTTCCTGAGTTGCTGGGATTACTGCACTATTGTGCCTGGTATATTTTATATTTCTAAAGAGGTTAAAATAGACATTGGTCAGTTAAGAATGATGTTCAACCTCTCTTCAGTGTTAAGTCCATGGCAATGGCCTTCATTCCTGCCCTCCTTTCTAAACATATTGAATTAATTTTTGTTGGAGGCCTCCACTGTATCCAAAACACAGTCTATTATTGTACCTATCACTTCTACTGCACTCTAAGTTCCTTAAAAATAGGAACCTGTCTTACCTATCTTGTTATCTTCAGTATTTAGTGGCACTCAATAAATGCTGAGTATGGCTAAGAAGAGCATCTAAAGGAAGCATAAGACCAGACAACTAGGCTGATCCGGTATAGATCTAAGAATTCTGAATGGAGAATTCTGAGTGGGTACAGGTGGAGGTGAGTTGAGCTGAGTGCACATTAACTGGGAGGGGTAACTAGTGGTGGGAGTCAAAGTTATGGAAAACAGGGGGATTCAATTCCATAACAGAAAAAAAAAAAAAAGAACCGAGCCCTTGGAATCTAAAGATGTGGGTCAAAACACTGGACTGAATAACCATAAGATATAGATATCTTAATTCCTGTGAATCACAATATTTTCTACCAAGGAAGAGTCCTCTATGTGTCTTAAGTACCTCATAGGACAATTGTCAAGATTAAATGAAATCTTATACCTTGTAATAATTTTTGTAACTTTGGCAGTGTGGTATATAAATTGAGTTATCTTGTTTTATCCAAACCAGAACCCTTTGAGAGCAAGAGGAAGTACTATCAATAAATAACTTCAGAACAGTACTCACAAACCAGAACTCTTCTGGGTTAACTTGGTTATATGCTCACTTATCTATATCATTTATATCTATATTCTAAATCCATGTATATCTACAACTATATCTGTGTATCTATACACATCTATATCTATATCAATATCTATGTCAGTGTCTATATTCTATATCTATATGTATGTCTACATCTATATCTATATCCATATTTATATCTGTAGTTCTAACTATTCCCAATTCTTTCTACATTTACTGTTTACTGTTGCTGTTATTATCATCATCCCAGAGTTTCTCACTTTATTTCCCTTCATTTCTCTTTCCAACCATCTCTACCTCTCTTAACCATTTCTCATCAGGACACCCTTTCCTAAGACTCTTTCCTTTCCTTGTAGTTTCTCTCTTCCCATCTGTCTTCCTCCTTTACCCCTACTCTATCTCTTAACTGTTAATAAGAAGAACTGAGAAATTTGTATTTTTTATCTATCATGTGTCTTAAACAATATTCTCTGTTCCTTAGAACAACAACAACAACAAACAACTCTACTTCGAGTAGAGGAAGAGGAACATGGGGAGGGAGGAAGGAAGAGAGAGAGGAGGCTCTGGGGACTGAAATGGAGCAAATTAAATTCCATGTATGTATAACTATAATGCACTAATAAAAGCATTAAAAATCTCTAGTTCATATTTCTCTAAGCATACCAACAAGTGGTCCTTTCTTAATGAGGAATCTAGTGAAGTTGGACAAGCAATGGATTGTGATTGTGCACATGTATCACTTTGGGAATTAGCCAGAGTCTCAGTTTTATCATCTGGAAAATGGGGATAACCATTCTTGCATTGCAGACAAATAAATGAGCTTGCATGCAGAGAAGTGCTTCAGAGCAGCAATCATAACTCTTCATTGGAATCACCTGGGTGAAGTTCTGAGACTATTCACAGGCTCTACCTCACACTAAAGGATCAAGCTGTTTTACTACTCCTGGGTATATTCCAATATTCAGCCAAGTTTGAAAACCACTAGTCTGTAAATTATACAATATTATACAAATGTAAAACAACATGTATGTTTATATCCTTGCTTTTTAAAAACCCTATGGATCAGTAACTCCTTAAAAGAAAACAGGTTACCTAGACCTACTCTAAATAATTAGAGATGAACAGGGGCAGATAAAATTTTAACATATTTCAACTATTCTGGGCCATGTTCAGAAAGACTCATGATGATAGGATAATCTTATTATTTAGCTATTAGACTGTAACTTTGAACACATGAAGCCTGAGTCTTCCCATAGCCTTTTCAGCCACTCAGAAATAGTTGTACCTCCATCAAAATAATTGTCTAACGTAGGTATCATCTTCATCCCAAGACAATATTAAAACATCTAATTTCTTTCAAAAATAACATGTAAAAGAGTAAAAAATTAAATGCAAAGGTTATGATTACTAACCATAGATTAGTTTTCAAATTTTATTTTTAAATTCTAAAACTAATGAGTAGAGAAATACCCTATATTACAACCCTGGACAACCCAGAAACTCTGATAATTAGAGTATCTCTTTATAATGGACATTACACAGTAGGTAAGGAAAAAATGAATGATTCTCATTATTTATAAAACTCATTAGTAATAAAAATGAACAACACTTTCTAAGGAAGTACTATCCTTTATACCTTAAAACTTTCTGAGATGACTATAGAAACTTACTTTTCAAGTAAAAAGAAACTACACAGATTTGGAAAAAATGACATTGGTGACTTTGGTTTTAAAACTTGTCAGTTAGTAATCAATTCATGTTTTTCATGTTGCTGATTTGTTTTTATATGTTAAACAGCTGCCATTGGACCAGTATCAATGTTATATTGCTACCTGGTATGTTGTTTAATAATGTCAGTGATGCTAATGAAAATAGAGCTAGCTAGGGATCCCATAACCTCCAGTCAATTGGTCTCAGTTTATGTTTTTACCTATTGATCTAATGGCCTGGGGTGTACAGGAACCCAACTCTAAACAGGAGAAAAGAGAAATTCATTTTAATCAAAGAAGTCTGAGACATAAATTTGTAATCCATGTCTTAAAAATTACATTTCCTTGGCAAAATTTTTTATTGATTTGTGTGAAAGAATATAGGTCATCTTAACTGAGCCAATTGTATAAATTCACAGCCATATTATAAAATAGATGGTACAATATGATATCAAAATGTTGTCTTAATAGCAGCAGAAGGGGCTTGGGCAAACTGTAAGAAATTAACAATCCAAAATGTGGAGTGTAAGCCAAACTATTGGACTTTCTACCAGTCTTTGAATTTTCTAGTCAATTTTATTCCAACTGCCATTTCCATTGTAGAAAAGACTTGAAGAGCCAGAAGGCCATTTCTCTTATGCCTCCCAAAATGGGTCATGTTCAAGAGCAACTTGGGTTTTCCTGGGATGGATCCTGTAGGCAAATCCCTCAGCAACTTGCTCTGCAGGAATTCTGGGAAAGAGGTGAAATTTGGGCTGTGGAGACTGTGAAGCTGATCACCACACTCACATGTATTTTTTGTCTGGCTATTGTTTCAACAATCCTCACTTGTAGCTAGGGTAGGGAATACAAAAGACCAAATCCCCCCCAAACAATTTGGACAGACATTTTTACAAAAATGACCCCCCACTTCAAAGTGATCCTATGTTTGTTAATCAGTCCACAGTCAGCTTGGCTGCAACAAAGAATGAAGCCTGTCATGGAGACAGATATTTTCCCCCTTGACCTCCAATCTCTGCTCAATTACAATTGGGCTTGAGCCCACTATGCTTCCTGATTTTAAATATGTTTCACTAATTTATTGTAATTAGGAATATTTCACTTAGGTTGGAGAAAACAGCAGGTTGAACCCTTGCCGTTTTGAGAAGTGCAATATAAATGCTCTTCTCATAAAACTGGGGAAAAAAAGAGCACTTCAGACACTGTGAAAAACAGTTCGGTGGTTCCTTCAAAATCTAAACACAGAATTTAACATTGACCTGTGATTTCATTTGACCCATAAATTCTACTCCTAGTTATATACTGAAAACAATTGAAAGCAGGGTCCTAACAGTTGTGTGTGGAGTGTTGTTGTTGTTGTTGAGGATGGAGCCCAGAGTCTTGCACATGCTAAGCACATACTGTACCACTGAGCTATGCTCTCAGACTGCCAAACAAATACTTGTGCATCAATGGCATTATATCACTACTTCCAATAGCCAACAAGTAGAAACAACCTAAATATCTTTCAATATATAAATGAGTAAACAAAAATGTGACCTATCTCTATAATGGGATATGATTCAGCCTTAAAAAGGAGTGATTCTGACACATGCTACAACATTGGTAAGATGTGAAAACATTATTCAAAATGAAATAAGACAAACACAAAAGGACAGATATTGTATGATTTCACTTATATGAGTAACCAAGAATAAGTAAACTCAAATATAGAAATCAGAATAGAAGATACCAGAAATAGGAAGAGGGAGAAATGGATAGTTATTGTTTAGTGGATACCAAATTTCTGTTTAGGATGATGAGTTCTGGAAATGGACAGTGCTAAGTAATTGCACAAAATTGTGGGTGTACTTATTACCACTAAATTATAAATCTACAGTGGCTACAATTATAAATCACATTATATATATTCATATGCATATATTCACTTAACAGTTTTTAAAATGCTACAAAAATCCCAAATCTAAGCCAATATTAGGATGAGAAATTTACAAAAGTACATGTAATGCACACAGTCCTTTTGCTGTTTTTTTCTAGTTCCAGATATTACAGTAGCATTCTTCTCTTGACCATTTCTAGAAAACATTCAAAATGACACTATTTCATGTCAAAATTAAGTTATTACTTTCAGACAATGAATATGCTGACTTCATGTTTAATAATGGACACTGTTTCTCTGAGCCAGAATTACTACACTACATAATGAATTGTTCCTCTAAGACGCAGTCTGCCCAAGAGCAAAGCAACCCAATGCCACAAGATATAGAATGTATATAGAAGATCAAATGCTTCAGTCCTACTTGAAGTATATTCATTCTCCTGTGCAAATCAAAACAAGAGAAGTCCATTAGCCAAGGATTTCATTCATCATGCCAACTTTTACACCTACTTGATGAAGTAGTCTCGCCCATCTCGGTTTGTCATCATCTCCCATCCATAGGGTGGCACCTGGTTCAAGCCCCAGGTTCCTGAGGGAGGTGGCCAGCCTGAAGACTTCGTTCTGTGGCTGCAAAAGAAAAAAAGGATTATCACAACTGACTCATAAATATATCTTTTGAGAAAAATTGCAGAAGAATACCCGATTTACTCTAAATTGAGGGATATTTCCTCAATTGATTAATTGGATAATTATAAAGAATATTTTTATGTCATGTACCATGCTAGGCATTTTCTATGTGGTATTTCAGTTTCCACAGGGGCTCTGTGAAGCATAAGCACATTTATACATTTTAGAGATAAGGAAACAATAAATGGGCCAGAAAGTTTAAGCGTTTGAAGATATACAAGCCAATTTTGAACAAAAGTTCTGTAACTTCCATCACATTAAACATCCCTGAAACCAAACATGAGGAATATTTGGTCCCATAATTAGATTTGACAATATTATATAAATACACATGAAAATAAACTTTTGTGCTCTTAAACAACAAAACAAAACAAACAAAAACAATCCCCAAGCCTCAGTTTCTTGGATTCCTATGACCAAAACACAGACTCATGCTAACCACACTCCAGGCTAAATGAGTTATTCATAAACATTAGACAAACTCACAATTTTAAATTACAACCCAAATCCACACATCATTCTTCACAAATTCCCCAGTGCACAACCTTAATTTGACTCATCAGTAAAATGAAAGTGTCATTAAAGAGAATTTCCTTTAAATCTTTTTCTTCCAAGAGTAAGAGAAGGGGAGAAGTAACTCCTTATGACAAGCAGTTATGATGGGTAGCACTGCAGAGCTACAGTCCATAACTAGAATCCTAAAGCCAGTTTCTAGAACATCACTGAATCATAGCCTGGTTTCTTCAATCTAGGACCTGAGAAATTCTTGTCTTCCAATAATTGTCCAACACTACTTCAGAGCTTCACCATGCTTTTGGAAGGAAGTAATCAATTCCATTTTAGGATTGATCAACATCCCTCATCAGTTTGTCCTTTAGGTTATGGAGAAGTTATTCACTGTATAGCCTCTAACATCCTCTCATGGTTCCAAATCCCAGAATGATATAAGTAAAGCAGGCAGAGAGAAGGCAGTGATGACATTTTCCTGGACTCACAATCAGTGTCTCAATAGCTGCTAAAGAGCACTTTACAATGAGAAAGAAGTACCCCTATGATTAGATAAAAGTAGAGCAAGTGCCACTGGCCTGAGGATGGACTGCAGTTGTCACCTGCCTCCTTGGTTCGGCCCTCTTGCACGAGGTACAACTTGCATAATGTAATGTATTTGCTTTCATGCAGCCTGTGGCCCTTTGGTGGCAACTACCTAAACCAGGATTCTTAGCCCCTTTGTGAAGAGGGAGACATTAAGTCAATAGAATACTGGGCAACTCCTTCCCTCAATCCACTTGGCCCTCTCATATACCCATCTGGCCATAACCCAAAATTTCTTAAGAAACATAAGTCTGTTTCCTGTAAGTTTTCTGCAGAGGAAGTATTTTGCATAATTTCAACCAACTCCACTGCTTTTGTTTTAACTTCCTTTCAGTTTTGCTACATCCTTCATAAAGTGTTCACCAATTTGATACAGGTCTGTAAATTTAGAATGCCACCATAGGCTTATTTCTTGTCTGTTGATATTAAAAGAAAAACATGGCTACTGCTTTTGGTTCTTTTACTTGCATAAAAGTCAGCAGTGGCAATTTCCTAGGGTGTTTTTTTTTTAATGTGCTGCTTTCCTGCAGTGAGAGAACACATGAGTTTGTCACCCTAAGGTACTAAAAAAAAAAAAAAAAACACAAAAACCCCACACCACTTTCTCCACAACTGCAGAGATCATATTTAGAATGCTTTCTAAGATGGTGCCAAGGAAACAAGTTCTTAGGCGCATGAATACAGCCTGTTCTGTTATTAAAAACTTTTTCCAAAAGCAAGAGTACAGTTAGAAGTGGCACAAAGACTGTTGTTAGGAGTGAAAGGAGGAAGCCTGTGCAGAGAATACAATACTTTATTCTGGATTCTTAAACTACATATTGTATTAGAAAGGTAATCTTCCTCATAGAGGGCTAACTTATTAAAAACAATAAACTGTCTTTCTTTTCCTTCAACCATTTTTTCCTCCCTGAAATCTTAATTACTGAAGGAAAACACACAGGCTTCCTAATATAACTTCCATATAAAATATAGCATTGTAATAAAGAACTGGAGGACACCCATTTTACTATACATGACATTCTGTCCTGTACAGTATGTTCAGGAAGGGGCAAACAATAGTTCAGCAAGATGTTTTCAAGTAAATCTTTCTTTTTAAAAAAATCACCAAATAAAATGCTAATGCTGGAAAACCACATAAATACTAATTGAGTTTAGTCTAGGCCAAGAGGCATCAGCTGATATAAAACAAATGATTTGAATATTAAGATCAATAAAAGAACATATATCTGCCTGTCAATGTGTCAAAATGAAATGTATAGGTCTGAAAATGCTTAGTAGAATTTAGCAAATTAAAAGTGCAAGTACAACAAAAATAACATCCTTTAAAAGTATCTATCCATAATGTCTTAAAAAATTCAAGGATATAGGCCATAATTGTGAAGGGATCTGGCTCCTGCTTCTATGAAGTATGATTACTGGAAGTCTAGTCATCAACAATATCCAGCCTTGGAAATCCAGTGGTTTCCTCCCTGCTTTCTGGGGAGATGCTTCAGGGACTTCCTTTTCCTGCTCTCACCTCTGGTGTTGCACCAAACTCTTTAATATTCTCAAATCCCCATCCCATCACTGCTGAACAACATTTTCTACCCAGAATATTAATCTATTATGTCCAATCATCTTATATAGAATTAAAAACTTGGGATTTAATGGGTTAAGAGTGGTCCCTTGCAGAGCAGCAGTGAGGCCAATACATGTAAAAGCAAAGCTCTTGGTTGCTTTGCTTTAGCACCCCTTCAGATATGGAAATTATACTCAATTCCTTAGGATAGCCAGGAACTGTTACGATGACACTATTCTAAAAGCTCTTCATTTTTGGCAATAATGCCAAACCTACATGCCAGTGTGAGATACTTGCCTTTTTATTTCCTTTCCATTTCATAGGGAGCCCATTCTGAATTCTTGAGCTGAGCCATTGTAAAAGTTTCCCTCTTTGAATGAGGTCTTACTTTTCTTGTCTAAGAACCTGCCAGCCTCAAGATTCCTCGTGACCACCTCTGTGGAGCCCGAACACTCTCATAAGTAATACCCTAGCTGTTCTTTTCAGCTGTGTTACTGAGGACGGTATGCAGGATGGCCCCACTGAGAACATTTGTAAGGTGGTCTTCCAGCCTAGGGCTGCTAAAGGTAGTACAATAAATACAGGGCACTCAGTCTCCAATTTGAGTTCTCCATAAGCAACATTTTTAAAGCATGTCACATATACTATTTGGGCAAAACTGATGCCCACTGGAGTTTTAGAACCACTGGATTAGAACCAGCCTCCCTTTAACTGAGTCTCTGCCATCTATTTTCCATGGTATTAAGCACTTTATTTAACCTCTCTAACCTCCTCAGAACCAGATACTCCTCTGTCAAATGGTGATAATAGGACTCATATCATTGGAAGAATATTAAGCGAGTTTTGAAATAATTTTGTACGATTCCCAGACATATATGCTTGAAAGTCTTTGATAAATAAATATCTACCTACAAATTAAAAAAATATAACACTAGGGGGGTGTTGTGCAAATATAGTTGACTGTAATCCATCCTCAGAATAGAAAGAAGGTGAAAGGCTCATTCATCTATGCTTTTCTAGTCTGGCAAGGTCTAGAAGGGGCTGAACCAAGCAGTCACACCTTCTCATAAGGCTAAAAGTTGATGAGTTCAGCCCTTCTCAAGGCAGAAGGAATATCAGGAAGTTTTTTTTTTAACCAAAAACCAGGAATCCCAAGTCTGTGATCCAGAGTACAGAGGGTCATTTTCCACTTTTCTTGGGCAAGGCTTTGAGAGTCCTTGCAATTGTGATGTTCTGCAACTTCTATCTGAGATCATGGCTGTGTGAACCACTTTTGAACACTTAGCTCAGCCTTAAAAATAGCGACCTACATTGTCAGAGCTATTTAAATCACTCCAGAAACTCATAACAACTGACTGAACTGGTTTGCAACTTTGTGCTTCACTCATCTATTGTTTGCAACAGGCTAAAACCATCCTGGACAAGATAGATCTTCCTACTTTATATGAAATGAGAGCAGCTAAGAACAGTACAGGCATGGTTGCAGAAGTATTTGTGTTGAGATCATTGGTGGAAGTGCTCCATGATTTCCTCCTCTATGCCTGCCCCTAAGTCCTGCACCAAATCTTAATGGCAAATCTGCCATAGGAGAAAATAAGCTTTTGGAAATGCCTGCAGGCCTCTACAGTGATCTGACTTTCCTTAGAAGTAACTCAGTATCTGAAAAAGTGATGCTGCCAAAATAGACCTGTAGACCAATGGTACAGAATAGAAGACACAGATATAAACCCACATACAGTTATCTCATACTAGACAAAGGTACCAAAAACATGCATTGGAGAAAAGATAGCTTCTTCAACAAATGGTACTGGGAGAACTAGAAATCCATATGCAGCAAAATGAAAATAAACCCCTATCTCTCACCATGCACAAAACTAAACTCAAAGTGGATCAAGGACCTAGGAATTATTCCAGAGACCCTGCATTTAATAGAGGAAAAAGTAGGCCCAATCTTCATCACGTTGGATTAGGCCCCAACTTCCTTAATAAGTTTCCTAAAGTGCAAGAAATAAAATCAAGAATTAATAAATGGGATGGACTCAAACAAAAAGGTTTCTACACAGCAAAAGAAACAATCAATGAGGTGAAGAGAGAGTTTACATTTTGGGAGCAAATTTTTGCCATACACACATTAGACACAGCACTAATCTCAAGTATATATAAAGAACTCAAAAAACTCAACACCCAGAAAACAAACAACCCAATCAATAAATGGGCCAAGGAGCTGAACAGACACTTGTCAGAAGAAGATATACATTCTATAAACAAATATATGAAAAAATGTTCAACA